TGTATTTCCCGTGAAAAAATGTTAAAAATAATAATTAAGCGCTAATTATATAAGTGCTTTCGTTTTATATTAGCTATTAGATTCTCGATGCGCTGCGACTTAACGACGCTTGTATGCAACGAATTATTCACGGGCGCGTCAAGCACTCGGATTTTAAAGATTCGCAAAGCTTCCCTCATATTATACGGGATTATTTTGCTCCAAAGTACATATCCTGAGGATCACGCCTAAAACACTCGCGGATGCAGGGACTCGTGGGAAAACCACGCAAATATATATATATATATATAGTATGGAGTTGCCTTTACGTTTTCTCTCTCTCTCCTCTAAGTGCTATCACTACCACCGGCGTACAGAACCGCGAAAATTATGGTTAGATGATTACACATGTACACAGACCGTCAATTATCTGCGGCAAATATCTTATATAATGCATCTTGTATAATGTACATTGCTCGCTAATGGCGAGTAAACCGCTTATGAGATCATAAGTTGAAACTTGATTAAAAATTGCAGATATAAAAGACCTCGCGTACTTATCGTGGCGATTAAGTAGTTTCGAAGCTGTTGTTTTCAGCGCGCATAAAGGAAATATTATTTCCGATAGAACAGCGTATAAATTCAATAACGCGCGCGATAAATTCCTAAAACATGTATGAAAACATAGGTCACAACCTTTGTCGCTATTGTACACACGCCGGTTTTTTTGGTGCGTCAGTAGTTCAACTCCGCGTCTAGTCAGCCATTACAATCTTCCTGATAACGAATATAAGCTTTGCGTGGTAGTTATACGCTTTTTATAACCGCGCCGGAGCTATGTGATGAAATGGTCTCGTTTTCCAAAAACTCGGTTCTGTTCATGTTTTTTTAAAACTCATCTCACGTGGACGGAATTACCTGACAAAAATTTACGTGAAAAAAAAAAACGACACAATCTATTTTCAAAGAGAGAGAGGTACATATATGTATGTACATATACATACAAAGCTATTTTACGTACGTGAAAAAAGTTAAAACTAGTTTGTTTTTTTTTTTTTTTTAATAAAAATTAAAAATAAAACTTTTATTTCTTTCTCTCGATCCGAGTATAGACGAATTTATTAATTTTATTATAGTATATCCGTATAGTCGATTTTTTCTTGTGTTCATAGACTATCGTACAAATTGACACAATGTCTTATACGTAATAAAATTCAAAAGTTCCCACTTCAATTTTGTCACTCTCACAAAGTAAATGAATTTTAAAAAGCTTTATATTTTTCTCTCTTTTTCTTTTTCTCATACACACACACACACATATGAATCATCAATGAATAATGACTATTGCAAGCACCAAGAGCTATCTTTTTTATTATCGCAAAAACATGGATTTGAGTAATTAAATTTTTGGCATTCCGCTCATTTTTCCTCTATCAATATATTTGTACTTCACGTAGCGCGAATATACATACACACAATTTCAATATTGAATTTATTACACAACGTTTGTTGTTGAGCGTTGCGCGAATCAAAGTATTACTTTTGCCGTTTAGTTTATTCAGACAGACGGTTTTTCCAAAAAATACGTGAGTGCTTTATTGAATTGTTAAAAACAGACATATGTGTGTGTGTGTGACGGAGAAAGAGAGAAAGAGGGAGGCAACACTGTGTGAACAACGTTGAGAGGAAGTATGTGAGTTACTGGTGTACCAAAATCATCAATTTCACTTATTTTCAATTTTGATTCTTGCGCTGATAACTTTAATCATAAAAAAAAAAAAATATATATATATATAATAGGGGTAATTGAGGTTATGTGTAACATAACAGCGATAGCAGAAATAGATACATTTTTATATCTATATCACATCTCAACTCGGCCAATTTGTCTCTTGATCGTAAAGCGAACAAATCAAGTACATCAGTGTTTACGCTGCCATTTGTCGTTTCATTACCGTAGCTGAGAAAAGCTGAGCGCGCTCAGCTAGAGCATGTACAAAAGATAACGCGAACGAGTATAGGCGCGCTCGTTCGTCGCACTGTTCATCGACAGTGATTTATCAAAGCGGCTCGTTTCGCAAATTACCGCATCGTATTCACAGAGAGTACGATGCTCGCGCGTATATCTGTTTTGTACCGAGAAATACTCGACACACAGTGTTGTATATAGATACGCTGCGAAAGACTAACAAGCACTCACCGGAATGGCAGTTGTAATTTGCTGATCATTGGGAGAGTTCCCCGGCGTTGGTTTGGTGGCTGCAACAACAATCCGAACAACATCGTCTCGTCGATTCCATCGAATGTTATTCCGATGCTTGAAGCTCGAATACGCGCGATGTATTTTTCAGACGGAAAGCACAGAGCAAAACGGAAAAGGAGAGCGAACGCGGAAACACCAACGATCCGATGCAACGATCCGTGAATTCGGAAAGTGCGAACGCGAAACGAGCTGAAGTAAGCCGCCGATAGAGGGCGCGCAATAGCAGCGCTTGCAAGAAACATTAGGCCCACCGCACACTAATGACATAAGTAGCTTGCATAGCGCAATATAGCGACTTTAACTAGATGTTTATTAGTTGAAACGATCTTACACGCTGCGCATATGCGGTCGTGTTATCTTAAATTTGACTATACAATTATGAACACTGCTGGTTTCTCGTCTCCGTTTATTGGAGGAAAAAATAAAAAAAAAAAAAAAAAAACTATCACAACGAAAACTATTGAAAAAAAAAGAAAACATTGCTAGTGAATTTTTTAAGTTTTTTGTTTCAAAAACTAACAGTCTTATTACATGTGAGTAAATACCTATTACACACGATGAAATATGTTCGCTTTGCCACAAAAAAGAAGTCCTAGAACGTTTTCATCTTTATTGAAAAAAAATATTGCATCGCAACGACGCGTGCAAAAAGCGAAAAAACATTTTTGACGATTTTCCTCATGCTCCAAAAAGTAAAGAATATATTGATAAAACGTAACAATATATATATATATATATATATTGGGTCAGCGAAAATATTTCTTACTCAGACGCGCCCTTGTAAAATGGACGACGTAAAGCCGACATTAATATCGGCAGCCGGGAAATGCTCGCGGTACTGTCTTGGGGCGCAACATCCAGAGGGATAGATAAGCAGCATCCTTTAGCCGCAGACAAGATATCCCGGCTCGGAGATCAACTTGACTAACCACTGCTCTCGCGATTCAGAGCAATTTATCATGGTCGAGCGACAGCTGAAAGCTTCCACGACATTACTTAGGACGACTCTCTCTCTCTCCCTCTCTCTATGTATCTATCTATCTCTCTCTTTTTTTCTTTCTGTCGTTTCCGCGTTACCTATTTTTGTTTTTTTTTTTCTTGCTCGCGTTCGCGCGACGGATTCATCCGCAACTCCCGAATGTATAGTAAAGCCGACAAGGTGTACAGCCGACGCGAGATCATTACTCCGGAATTATCCGAATGCCCATAACTTCTCTCTCTCGCTAAAACTGCGGCTCGCGGGGTCCGAAATTCCGACTGAGGGAATTCCAGCGGCATTTTCGGGATTTCTCCGCTATTCGGCGGTTACCCCGCATCCGTAGTTATCTCGCTTCGTGGCCTACCTTGCATATCAGTAGGGGATTACGCGGGTACACGAACTGCGTTTCGGCGTCGGTTGTGTGCGGTCGTTCGGTTATCCGAGAGTATAATAATTTGGGGATGAACTGTTGTGCAAGAGCTATCGGAAGTTGATCCGTACCGTATAAACACGCTCGGTACCCGAATGATATTGCCTCTCACGAAAATATGTATATATATATATATATGTATATATTGAAATAGTTACGGATAAATTTTATTAGTATTATTTGCGGTCTGGACCGTTTTCGCAACATTTCAGATGTGTACTACAAGGAAGAACCGTATTAAATACCACTTACCACGGAGAATTCCTGTCCGTTTGTTTTGTTTGGAATGTCCAAGTGAATTATTCGCGAATTGCTTACAAAAACTCTCTTTAGAGCATTAACTTCTTTCTCGCGGGGATAAGCGTGTGGTTTTATTAAGCCATCCTTTATTCGCCCCGGGCGTAAAACCGTTTTACCGAAGCGGGGGAGAACCCTCTCTTCACGTAGTTTTTGCCCGAATTGGCAAACCATTATCTATAACGAAGACATTACTGAATTTTCCGTCTATTCAAACAATTCGGATAAGTGAGCCGGAAATGTAACGAGAAAAATGTCAAATTGGTGTAACATACGTGAATCGCGCGCGCGAAAGCGTGTAATAACGAAAGTTTATTTATATTAAAATATAACGTTTTTCAATATAGCGCATGTGTACACATATACATGTGTACAAAGTACTTGTATAAATTTTAATAAAGTTTTATTATAATAAATTGAATGAGCTTGGAGCGGGTTGTATAATTATGTAGAAATTAAAATGCTGCTGTGTTGCCGCTATAATCATTTTTAATTATCATGTACGAGGAACACGAAAGAAATTATTTCAAATACCACTTTAAACAAACATGCGATAAGTAAAATATTGAACAAAATAAACAACTTTTTATTTCACAAATAACATTCTATGATAATGTTTTTTTATTACTATTGCAATTTTCTTTAAAATTGGAAATTAAACATTAAAAGCAAAAAATTTTTAACGTTAATGTTTTTTAACTAGAACATATTTTCATCCAAACAAGTGAACGGTAATAAAAGCGCAATATGCTTTTAATTAATATTCTTCAATCACGTAGCTATTACATGACTTTAATAGACGATTACGCTTACAATGCAATTATGCACAGTGAAATTCCATTCGAGCCAAATTTATTAATTACACGGTTTGCTCGGATATAAAATATCTCATTACTTTTAATTTCTTGATAATTTAAAAAAATTTTCAAGCACACAAGAGTTTTATACGCCCTTATCATGCATATTTTTCGTTTTTATTACACAAAATATGTGAAATATTATTTCTCGTTAAAACGCGAGTAACGTGTGTGTGTGTGATGCTTTTATTTCAGGCCGAAATATGGAGCGTCTTTATTGCGATCCTGAGAAAAAGCGTCAGAAACTTGCAAGCGTGTACAGACGTGAGTCTCATAGAACATGTTCTGCATCGATTGTCTCGTGCAGAGACCGTTGTCGCCGGTAAGTAAAAAAATGTATAAATCAAATCGTATTATTATTAATTACACGAAAAAAACAGAACAGTTTTTTTGCCATAGTTATATTATTCTTCAATATTTTGTATATTGTGTGACAGATTTATTAATCGATATGCTGGGAGTGCTCGCGAGCTACAGTATAACGGTGAAAGAATTAAAACTTTTGTTCGGCGCTATGAAAGCCGTTAACGGAAAGTGGGTAAGAATTTTCAACACATCTATTGTTACTTTATCCAACTTCTCTCTCTCTATATATATATATATATATTCAACGAAAAATCGAATAAAATACTGTCGTATCGAAAACCACATTCGATATATTATATATATGTATAAGATGTCGGATGCACTGACTCGAACTGGAAATCCTGTTTATTTATTTCACAGCCACGGCATTCGGCGAAACTGTTAAACGTTCTACGCCAAATGCCGCAGCGAAATGGGCCCGATGTATTTTTCAGTTTCCCCGGTAGGAAGGGGTCGGTAAGTTGATTTCGTCTCTTTTGTTCGCCTTCACCTTAGAACAGATACTTCTTACTTTACGACATCCCGGAGGACGTCGTTCGATTCTAAAACTCGATCAAAGTTCCGATAAGAGAATTTATCTCGTCTCGGGAAGATTCCTCTACCCGCTTACATTTTCGAAATCAATCACAATGAGGAACTTTCCCGGAGAGATTATTGTCGCGTACACGATCGATCGCGTGCACGGTCTGTCGTAAAACATAAACGTACATACTTAACCGAAATTCTCGAAATAGCTACGTGTGCGTTCTTGTTATGCGCGTATGTGGAATCGCATTGAATAGAAACTTATGTCAATACGCAACCAGCGCGAGTTATAATTTCGCTTTTCATTTTCCATGTGGCAATGTTACAGAGCTTTGGGATAGCGAATGCGTAATAAATTAATTCACGTAATTTAGAATTTGTTGAAATTTTGAAAAGCTCGTTAGCGAAAGCTTATTACGTAAAGCACAGGTGCAACGTGTATATATAATTCGTTCGTTGAAAATAGTATTTAATATAATGTGTTTGATAAATATTTCGAGAGAAAATGGAAAAAATGTTAAATTTTAAGATTTTGCAGTCGAAGCGTGTTCACGGAATAATAAAAAAACAAAAAAAAATCGAAAAATTGTTAAAGATGCGTAAATATTTATCTCGCGATAATTTTTTCCTAAATTATTATTAATTTTTTACGAGGCATCCTGATGAGATCGTTTTCATGTATCTTCTCACAGGCGATTGTCCTGCCTCCGCTTGCAAAGTGGCCGCACGAGAATGGATTTACCTTCACCACATGGTTTCGCCTAGACCCCATCAACTCTGTTAATATCGAACGAGAAAAACCGTACCTCTACTGGTAAGTGCTCTCACATCAAGCACTCTCGCAAAAGCACCCTCTCCACAGGTGGAGCGCGCCGGCCTTAAAGAATCACCTATGTTTCTCAACTTCGGCAAAGCACCTCCAATTGAACTCATTAAAATGTACCTCTGTTTGCATACAATCACAAACGGGGAGAGAACTTCTTAAACTTCTCTCTCACTCTCTCTCTCTCTCTCTCTGCGATCCGTCTCACATTTTACTCGAGCTCTTTATCCCCGGCGGGGATAATTAAACCTGTTTTATATACATGAATTCTGTTCTATCTCTTTCATTGTCTTTTTAAATCGGAAACAAAAGAAGTAGAAGTGGGACAACAATAGAGAAGATAGACAAAATAGTTTTATCAAACAGATACATAGAGTAACATTCCTTTCTCTCTCTCTCTCATTATTTCAGCTTTAAAACAAGCAAGGGAGTAGGATACTCTGCGCACTTCGTAGGAAATTGCTTAGTCCTGACGTCTATGAAAATAAAAGGCAAGGGCTTCCAACATTGTGTCAAATATGAATTTCAACCACGAAAGGTAAATACACCGTTAATTTAACTGGCATATGTTTATTTTGTTCTATTTTTGATAAAATTACACATTTGTTTTCTGTGCAGTGGTATATGATCGCGGTAGTGTATATATACAATAGGTGGACGAAGAGTGAAATCAAATGTCTGGTCAATGGTCAGTTAGCGTCGAGTACAGAAATGACATGGCACGTTTCAACGAATGACGTAAGTGTGTCGGACTAATGTGTGTTTCTAGTTTGATAATTAAATCAACCTATTTTTTTACGTTTTGACAAGAGACAATGTGATATAATTTTTCAGCCGTTTGACAAGTGTTACATCGGAGCGACTCCCGAACTGGACGAGGAGCGTGTGTTTTGCGGACAAATGAGCGCGATATACTTGTTCAGCGAAGCGCTGACGACGCATCAGATATGCGCGATGCACAGACTGGGACCGGGATATAAGGTAACACACGTCTTTGATCGATCTGCGAGCATTTTTTTTTTTGTTTTCATCCTCGCGAAATAAAATACTCTCATCGTCGCTTTTGTTCTTCTCCAAATTCGCAGAGCCAGTTTCGTTTCGACAACGAGTGCTACCTGAATTTGCCCGACAATCATAAAAGGGTGAGTGAGCAGGATCTCTCTACGAGCATGGTGGACCAAAGTATGCAAATTGTAAGCATTTTTTATTTTATTTTCCCGTTAATATATGATTTGTACTTCGTTAATTGATCTGTTACTGCGTAACGAGTTCACCTGAGGTAATTACCCAAATTACGATCACATCTTCTCGGCCATTTCTCTCCGTTCGCGGCTGATAAGTTGGTTGATTTCTTTTGTATTATTTGTCAATCGTAAAAAAACCCGGTATTTTTTGTTTTGTTTTTAACCTTGTATTGTGCCTGTGCATCAGTATCGTATCTCTTATTCTTTATTTTTTTCTTTCCTCTGGATTGAATGTGCTTGTCTTTTCTTACTTGATCGTTTATATCGCTTTCCGTAAAATAAATCCATGTACACATCTTTGTTATTATTTTGTTGCAATATTGCTTTAATCTTGTACGTATAATAGTACAAATATACAGGGTGTCCCAGAATTGGTTTAACATCTCTCGTAGGCAGGTAGAAGGAGTAAAACTGAG